GGTTTAGGGTTTAGGGACGCTCAACCCCCGAAGACTGGGAACTCTCTCCATCCGACAAAAACCTTCCCATGATAAAGGCATCCCTGCACTTCGCCTCGCCGCAAGCGGCGTAGGACGCCAGGAAGTGCCTGTTTCTAGGGGCCCCAAAAAAGCACCTAAGCAAAAACTAGGATAGGGATATCCCATATAAACCCCCTTATAATGAAGCCCAATAAGGTAGGACTGTTTCAGAGTTTAGTTAAAGGCAACTACAGGTGGGGAGTTTTTTCGGTATATAGGGCTTCTATAAGGCTTCCATAAGGTGTATAGACCTTCTACAAGGCTCCGAAAACGATGACTACCCACCTGAAAATGTCTTAGATTTAAGCAGGGTCTGCAGTTGATATGCGCTTGCGTTGCATCAGGGATGTGATTTTGGGCTTAGGGCTTAGGTCCATGATAGGTTTGGAGCGGGAAGGTTGAGGCAGAAGCCTTAATAGAGCCCTTACGGTCGCATCTAAACGCTCCGTGACTTCTCAGGAAGAGTGCACCTCAGTATCTCAAAGGTAGAACAAACCCCTGCCCACTCGCCGCCTGCATGCCAGGCCTTGGCGTGAGGAACCCTGCCAAAGCCCCACGAAGGTTGGGCACAAAGCCCCACATCCCAAAGCCTAAATAGGTACACCCAGGATCACAAACCCATGCTCCTCAGAATAACCTAAACCCTGTAAACCCCGAACCCTAAACCCTGAACCCCCGCCCCCCTTGCAAAAACCCTGCGCGTTTAAGCGCCCAGCCTTTTAAGCCCTGGACCCTAAACCCTAAATCCTGACGAACCCTAGAAACCGCGGAACCTAAAGCCTAACCCTAACGAACCCTAAAACGCCCGGGTGCCTTAAATCCTCCTCCTGGAAACCCTCGGGTCGTCGAAACCTCTGGGCGGCACAGTGTGTCGGACATTTAGGGGTTAAAGTTTAGGTTTTGGGCTTAGGGTTGAGGGCATAGGGCTTGGGGCTCAGGGTTTAGGGTTTAGGGCACAGGGTTTAGGGTTTAGGGCACAGGGCTTAGGGTTTAGGGCTCAGGGTTTAGGGCATAGGGCTTCGGGCTCAGGGCTTAGGGTTTAGGGTTTAGGGCACAGGGGTTTAGGGTTTAGGGCTCAGGGTTTAGGGCATAGGGTTTGGGGCTTAGGGCTTAAGGCTTAGGGTTTACGGCCCTAGGGCCGTTTAGGGTTTCTGGTTGAGGGATGTTGAAAGGCTTTCAGAACGGGACGCCGTGGTGGCCTGTGTTTCGGCAGGCTTTAAGGTTTAGGTTTAACGGCGCTAAAAGGGTTTGAGTCGGGTTGCGACTTCGCTGGGAGGGGTCCCTCTCTAAACCCTAAACCCTAAACCCTGAACCCTAAACCCTAAAACCCTAAACGCTAAACCCTGAAACCCTTAAACCCTTAAACCCTAAACTCTAAACCCTAAACCCTCAAAGTCGGTTTAGGGGTTTAGGGTTTAGGGTTTAGGGTTTAAAGCCGCTTCAATCTGCAGGTGGGAGGCC